AAAATTGATATATTTAAATTTATAGAACAATATTGACTTTTATAGTAATTAATAAATTAAAATTGTTAATGTCACTGAGCATGCACATTAATAGTATATTACGTAATAAGTGTTGTAAAAAGCATTTTACGCACGAATGGAAAAGTTACGCACGACGCCGCGTAGCGGCGAGTGCGTAATTCTATGAGTGCGTAATTGCATTACACCACGTATTACGTACTATACTTTACCTACGACCACTACTTTAAATACTTAAAAACACACCGTCTGCGATCAATGTAAGATTCCTATTTTACGTAAGGTAAAAAAATCGCACAGCTTGGTAAAAAAATCGTACAGTTTTCCTAGCAACGGTCAATACAAACAGTATTGTATTGACCGTTGCTAGGCGGTTGCTAAGAAAACTGTGCGATTTTTTTACCGTGCGTAATAGGAATCTTACATTGATCGCAGACGGTGTGTTTTTAAGTATTTACAGTGGTGGTCGTAGGTAAAAGTTTAAATTAGATTGTAAAGACAGGCTAACAGCACTTGCAATGCTATCTATTGAAAAATTAATCGTGGGAGAAAATATGTATTTGATACTATTTTTTTTGTATCTGTACAACTTATCTATGAATAAATCTATATGAATAAACAAACACCAGTAGAAGATAATAATCGTAGAAAATCTTTAAAAAATATATTTGGAAATATAAAAATATTATCTTGAGCTAATTTTAATATTTTTAAAGTGAGAACACAAAAAATACTTGTTTTAGATAAATTGTCCGAAATATGAAACATTTCAAATCATGTGAGACCTATGATAAGAAATTTATTATTAAGAATGATATGATTTGTATAGAAACAGAGGCATTTTGAGGGGTAGTAATATTGCTCCTGACGTTTTTGGGTGGTGTGCAATCTTTATTATTTTTGTTGCAGATAATATATGCGCATATTTAATTCGTCAGCAATTTCTCTTGAGCTTATATTTTCTTATGGTACTAAAGTTTCAACCAGTTTCACAATTTCATGCGAAGGTCTCTTATTAGCAGTAGGTACCAATTAATACAAGACGAGAATCAACGTAAAATGAGTAAGAAAGGAAACGATTGTTATAATACAAACGATTGTAACAAGTTATAAAACAAACGATCGTCACAAGTTACAAAACAAACGATTGTAACAAGTTACAATACAAATGATTGTAACAACTTACAATACAAACGATTGTAACAAGTTACAATCGTCCTCTGCCAAAAATTACATTTTCGCCCTTAAGTAGTACATAATTTAGTGAATCCATTTTTGTAAAACCATTCATTTGAATCATCAAATGGTATAATATTTGTAGTTGCAAAGTGAGAATTAGTAAGATTGATACGTTTTGTTACAATTGTTGTACCCGTCTTTGAAGGACCTAAAAATCTTCAATAACCGTTTTAAGTAAAAATATTATTCACGTTTTGATTGTTTTTGATTGTTTTGACAAGAGAAATCAGCACTGAAGACTTGTCGAGACGTCACTGCTATACTCTGACAAAAGGAGTTCTATAATTATGACGCTTTTTTTTAGGGATGGCGTTCGCTTAAGTTCAGCCCGCGCTTTCCTCAGACCAGCTAGAAATCGCGCTAATCTGAACGTTATGTTAAACTCTACCGCCACCAGAATCCTAGTCAGTGTCGATGGAGACACCAAGAAAGCAACCGGCGTAGAATTCGTTTACAACAACGTAACTTACACCGTTAAAGTGAACAAAGAAATTGTTCTATCAGCCGGCACCATCAATTCTCCTCAAGTCCTTTTACTTTCCGGAATCGGACCCAAGGAGGTGTTGGATGAGGTCGGAATCGAGCAAGTTCACGAACTTCCTGGTGTGGGACGGAATTTATCCAACCATGTCTCCTTTAGTCTTACGTATGATTTAACTAATGTTCCGAAAACGAACATTCTTAGTATGGACGCGCTTTTGGAATATGTTGAGAATAGGCAAGGCCCACTGTCCTCCACAGGTAAGTCAGAAATATTAGAGTAGAGTAGAGTAGAGTAGATATTTATTAAAGTTTACACCAGAGAGGTTTACACAAGTCAAGGTACAACAATAAAATGTATGTATACTACACAAAAGACACAATACCATTATATACGTAAAACACAACATACATGTTAAAAACTAAGCATTTCTGTCAGACAAAAACTCGTCGAAAGTGTAGTAAGCCCCCGCTAACAGCCGTCGCTTAATTGTGGTTTTAAATTCCCTTACAGGGAGGCCCTTTACAATTAATGGCAAGCTATTATAAAATTTAGGTCCCCAGAAATTGATGGCATTTCTGCTCCTAGCAACCCTCAAAAAATCACCCCTCAAATTTTCGTACTCGCTATATCTAGTAGAGTGTGTGTGAATTTCACGGACTTCCGTATAGTCGTGCAAGTTCTGTTTAACATGCATAAGCGCTGACAGTATATATACTGAAGGTACCGTAAGGATCATTAATTCTCTAAATGTATGTTTGACATCATCTCGATATCCCAATCTAGCCATGACTCGCAACACCCTCCTCTGTACCGCGAAGACGCTCCTCAGATGTGCAGAATGTCCCCAAATTACAATATTATATGAGAAGGCAGCATGAAATAAAGAGTAGTAAACATTCTTTATCAAGTCAAAAGATACTTCATCCCGCAAATTTCTAATAAGGTATATTACTCTAGATAATGTTCTCGAGACATTAGTACAGTGTACTTCCCACGTCAAACTCTTGTCGAGCCACACACCCAAGAACTTCACCGCCACCTCCGACGCAACGCCATCACTGGGAGACCTCGTACTAAAAATCATTTGTTTCGTTTTATTTTTATTTAACATTAACTGATTTGCA